CGGATGGGCCTCCCGGCTCGAAGACGCCCGCGCTCGCCTGCTCGCCTCGCTGGGGCGGCTTTGGAGCAGGTCTGGGCCGGATAATGGCAGGCGGGGGGTGGGCGAGGCGGAGGAAAGGCAGGCCGGAGGGGAAGGGGGCTTCGTGGTCTTCGGCCCACCAGTCCTGGGAAAGGCCTTCGCCCGGAGATTCGGGCGGCGAAAGCCTCTCTGGTGAGCTCGGGCTCGGTTTAATCCTCGTTTAGAGTAGGAGGGGGAAGTTTTCGCATCCCTCAGTAGAGAGAGGGGAAGGGAAGGAAGGTTGTGGGCTGCCACTGGAAGTGGAAAATGGTGGTGGTGGTGCTCATAATAATTGGTAGCAGCAACATCAGCCTGTCTTGTTTCTGCGGGGATGGAGGGAATGAACTCAGCCTGTCTGGACTGAAGCAGTATGCCCCTGAGGAGGTTTGAAGGACTCAGAGGGGTGCCAAAAGAGAGAGGGAGAGGCAGATACTAACCAGGAGAGGGTGGTGAGGGGAGCCCCTTTCCCAGAGGATGAAGAATGGAGCTGGAGGGGGCACGTGCAGAAGAAAAGTGCACCTTCCTGCACCCGGTTCTTTCTGATCTTTATAAATTGCACATTGAGGAAAAGGATCAAGTTAGTAGACGGAGAGGTTCTCTACTTGTTGAGTTTGCAATGGGCCGACGTTTTGTACTAATAGCAGGGTGTACCTCCAGTTTAATGGATGGTGGATTTATGTTGATCTGGCTGAGTTGCTAATAGGCTATTATTTTATATTAATTCATGCGGACTTTTTTTCCTTTTAAGTCTGCAGGGTTATCGTAGAGAATAAAGTCCAAATGAATAAGCCAGAATTAACTTAGTGGGTTTTGTTTCCTTATCTGTTAGATTTATAGCCCACCATTTCTTTAGCTTGCTAACAAAGTCCTCCTTGCACAAGATTTCAGCAGGCCTGGAAAAGGCTGAACAGGTTGTTCTCCTGTGGCTGGTTGTGAGGATTGAGATTCCTCTAGCAGATGCATAGGTTGGATTGACCTGTGGTGGTTTTGTGTTCTGCTCTTGCAGTAAGGTTAAGAATTGTTACATGCGTCTAAAGACATGGTATGTTTCAGTAACAGATTTATGTCCTGACTTCCTTCCACAAAGCCCAAGCTTGATGATTTTCCGTCTGACCAAAGCTGGACCTGCTTAGGTTCAACAGAGTTAATGCAGAATGTCTTCAGGGGTTCTAGCTTGTGCTCTTGGATACATGACTTTTATTTTTCGTCAGTCTTGTCCCCCACTTAATTATGTGTCCTTTGAGAAGGCATTTCCTCACATAACATTTCTGTCTTAACTATATTGAGTAGACAAATAAAAATAATATTGATCCATGTTTTTCCACATGAAAGGCGTGTTTAATCCAAGAGCTGATCAACTGATGACATGTACATTGCAAAACTTTGCTCTCCAACAAAAAGCAACAAAACCCCACATAATTAGATAATCTATCATAATATTACATGATGAAAATGTGGATTCTTTTATTAAGTTGAGATTCTCAAAAAGATAACAATGTCTCAAATATGAATTTCATGAACCCATTTTACCAGCATTGTCAAAACAACAAATTGAGTCCATGTTTTTGTTTCTACCAGGATGTTTGGATTCCAGCATCTAAATTCTATGACATATTTTAATTGTGAGAACAAATCATGAACAGCATGGAATTTTAGGTGGGGGGAAGGGCTAGTTCTGTTGGGTTGTCATAAATGTGATCTCTCTCTCTCTCTCTCTCTCGTGCAAAACGATAAGAGTATTTTAGAATAATCGGGTCTCACAACAAGGAGTTTCTTTATCATCTATGGTCTTATGAACATAAAAGTTTTATGAAAGCTCATGTTTTAAAGGCCATCCCATACTGTAACCATTTCAGATGATGCTTGAGACCTCCTCACTGTTATAGGTAGACATAACATTGGATTTATGGCAGCATCTCCCCTCTCTAGAAATAGTGCTGATTTGGGTGGTCCACTCCCAAAAGCTGTAGAATTCCAAGCGACCTTGGAAGAATTTATGGTTGGTCCCATCAGTGCCATGTTTGAAATCTGGAATAGGGAATTTAGGACAATTGACATGATTGCTTATAAATGTGCTTTCTGACCTATTGCAAAATAGCTCTATGGTACAGGTAGTCCCTGGGTTAAGAATGCCCAGTTTAAGGATGACTCATAGTTAAGAACAGAGCCTGTTGTAGCAAAATTTGAGTTAAATGCACATTGGTTCGAGTTTATTGCACAATACTATTTATACAGTATTATACAATAATACTGTTCCAGCTTGCATACAAATTCAACTTAAGGACAGACCTTGGAAATGGAACTCATTCTTAAACTGGGTACTATCTGTACTTAAGTTGTGGGAGCTAAAGCAGCAAGGTAAATGGGTAAAGTGCATGTAAAGGAATTATTATTTTAAAAATTTTGGTCAGTAAAATATTTCATAATCATTCCAGTGTGGGTGCCACCATTGATACAGAGCCAATTGAGGGTGGTTTCCAAAAATTATTGTCAGGATTAGTTTCAGTTTGTGACACCTGAGAATTTGGAATCTCCAAGATAGGCAAATATAGACCAGTCTTTAATCTGTGACTAAGATGGTTTGAGAGATTGGTGGCTTCTTGCCCTCAGTCTCTCAGATCATCTAAAAACAGCTCTAGAGGAAGTTTATTATTATTTTTTATAAGTATAATAAAATTCTGTAACATAGTTTTAGAAAACAGTGCAGTGATTATGAAAAGAACCCCAACAAAAATAATTTCTGTTGTATCACCTTGCAGCTATATTTATTTTTATTAACAGATGTCTGGTAAATTATTTTTAACAATGCTATATGAACTACATTAAATTAAATCAATAAAAAGAATGGACTAAAATGATAAAGATTTTATCAATACTTTTCTCCCCATTAACTTTTCCGTAGATCATAATCATCAGATATAATTTCAGGAAGCTCTTTACAATTCATGTATACAGTGAAAGAAGACATTCTATTTGAAAACTATCTGAGTTTGGAATATTATATAAAACTCAAGTTTCGAGAGAAGATTTTCCATTACCGCAATTTGCCAAACTTTTTTAAACCAGCTGTTAATAGATAAGCACTTCAAGTCATACTTATGAATTAGGGAGGCTACTATTTGCCTTATAATTAATAAATAGCAAATGTAGCTGTTGTGTTTGTTGCTGACTAGTAATATTACTTAACATCTGAAAGATCTAGCAGTCATTTTCTATAAAACCAACCCATATATGTACAGGCAGCCCCTCTAGTCAAAAGGTGAAATTGGTTTTTGACTACATGATTGCTTATTTTGGTTTGTTATAACATCTATGAAACTCTTTTAAAGTAGTTTTCTTGTATTTGAGGAAGCAAATGTAAATGGAGCCAGCTGCCCAGTCATAGCCCGTTTTCATTTTTCTTTTAGACTGGCAATCCAGCTTTCAGATACCTCTAAGAGAATCCATGGTTGGATAAAATGATTGAGAAAATGAGGTAGTTCTGCAGGACATCAGTTAACTTGACACTTTTCACACTAGCTTCAAAGTACGCTACAAGCCAAAGATTGCCTTAGTTGGCCTGACGAGTGATCTGTGTCTGACAATTGACAAAACAAGAGTGATTCTTTTGGTTCTTTTTAGCTTTTCAGTGGTTTTTGATACCATCAACCACGATATCTGTTTGAATCCCCTTGGAAATTTGGGAATAGAAGCACTGCTTTAAACTACTCCGTTCCCACCGTCTCTCAGTGCCATCTCTAAGTTAGATGTCAGTGCCTTTCTGCAGTTGATAACTGGTTGGATGCGAGTGAATAAACTGAAGCTGAATTGAAACAGGCTAGAGCTAATTGTAGAAGGCCACAGTTGGAGTAGCTCCCTGTTCTAGACAGAATACCACTGTTTCATAAGCCTGTATTCACTTTGAGAACGGTCCTCTGAGAATTGCACTCTTGATTTATTAGATTGAAGCCAGAATCATCATCTTTCACCTTTGGCCAATGCCTTCACTTTTAGAAGAAATGACCTAATACGGTGCAGGTGCTGCCTATAGAACATTGCCTTTGGAGACTTTAAGTAGCATTAAATTCTGGAAGAATTGAGAGATCATAGTACACCTGTCCTAAAAGTATCATACTGGCTACCAGTTTCTTTCCAGATGGGATACAATGTGCTGGTTGTTATTTTTGAAGCTTTACATGGTTTGGGTTCAGGTTTCCTGAGAAAATGCCTTCTCCCATAAGAAATCTCCATCTTCCCCACAATTACTGAATTCATCTGAGGAGGTGTGTCTATACCTACTTCAGGCTTATC